TGAGGTTTTAGTCAACCAATAAAAAAGCATGATGCAACGACCTAAAACGTGTCAAACTGGTTAAGCCACACAAAATCTGCACATGGAGATTATCTTTATGAGATTCCCCCAAAATTTATTCATGAAATAAAGAAGGCTTTGACGTCAACGACCTTAATGTATTCCTCCCCAAAGTAATGAGTTTTCCCCGTATAAAAAGGATTATTCTTTCCCCACTATACAACTGTGAAGGACATAAGTTTCATGAATGTTCACAGCCGAGCTCTCGCGCGCGAAGCGCGGGCAGCGGAGCACCATGGGTAAAAAAATGTGATAAACTACCCATCCGAGAAAATTTCGTAATCACGTGACCGTACACCGACCGCCCGACCGTCCGTCCGCACCACAGGCATACCAATGTAAAATAATTCAATCAACAGGTACGGCAACCCAAATGCAACGGAAAGAAATCGCATGGCCTCCCGAAAGAAAAAACAACAACAAAGTCGTGTCTTTTTCTACGTTATTTTTGATGTTTACACTCACGTGGATAACAGAGAAAGAGCTAAAGCGAGTGATTGAAAACAAAAGAGACGAATTTTGTAGGAAGAAAAATATGAAAATTCAAAGCGGCAGTAAATGCTAGCGGCCAGCCAAGTGAAAATGAGCGGTAGTGAAAAATAAAAGCGAACATGAACACAGGAGACAAAATATTGGGTAAGCACATACGACAATTCCTCCATAAAAATTTGTGTAACTAGGAAGTTTGACGTTTTAGTCCTACAAAACAGCATTGTAGTTATGCAGAACAACAGCAAAAAAGACAAAAAGCGTGCTGCACGTGGAAATTTGTTTTTTTGCTAATTAGAAAAAAAAATTGTGCTGCACGTGCAATTTGTTTCTTTGCTAAACAGATCTATTGATCTTGATGCCATTTTCATTGCCCTCCCCGTTTAGTATCACGCGATTTAATTTTTTTTGTTTACAAGTCTTATTAACCAGAGCTTCGCTTTTAGCCCTGGCTAAATCTATATATTTATGAGTTATTTGAAGTTTGTAAAAGCATCTCACATTCCTCTTGTTTCCCCTCCTTCACCACCACCATCACCGTATTTCTTTTGTTTTCCTCCACCACCACATTTCTCTCGTTTTCTTTCCACCAATACATTGCTATTGGTTTCCCTCCACTACCACCACTACAACCACAATTGCATTGTTTTCAGTCCACTACCACCACCATATTTCTATTGGTTTCCCTCCTCCACTACCCTCACAAGGCAAAGAATGAATCGAAGAAAAGGACTTTCTGGCCATACCATGACGACACACACAAGCACGTACCGGTATGTTTGTTATGTAGACGAATGAACTGCAACCGTCAGGAGAATAGGACCGCTTCTACATAACCTGTCTTTTTGGCGGAGGTGGCGGAAAACAATAGAAATGTGGCGGTAAAGAAAAAACAGTAGAAATGTGATGTTGGTCATGCTCAAAAAGGGACCCTAAACATGCATCTTCTACTACTCATGTCCCACGTCTTGATCTGAACAAACTTTCCGACCATTTACAGCTCTCAAATGTTGAAATGTTCTTAATTCAGTGGATATCTTTAGGGCCTCACTGCCTTTGGCCCACTTATGCTCTCAAGTGTTTGATTGGAAATATTCTTCAATTTTATTGTCGCCATTTAAGTCTGTAACGACCAAATAATTGCAAATCATGATATTATGAAACGTGGCTTTAACCGTCCGTTCAGTGTCGACATCAGCTCCGTATAAGTATCAGCCGTATCTCTTACCCAGACGTCACTCTGTCTTATTACGGGCCGTGGGAGATTTGGGTACAAGACTAGTATCAGCTCCTTCTAAATCTAAGCTGGCAGCAACATTCTTTAGTACTAAAACCATCAACACGGGGTAAACACACGCTTTTACACTTTTAGCTCTTTTCATGCATCCCGAGTTACCTGAGAACAGGCACCCTATCACTTATGCCCAAGAATGTACGCAATGGCGAAAATGCTGAAAAAGTGCGAGAGGGTCGGCGAAAATTTAAATGAGATTACAAGAGGTGCTCTTTGTAAAGTGGTAAAGTTTACAAAAATGGCGAATCTGGCGAAAATTGGCCATGGGTTGGGCGAATAATTAAATTAGATGACAAATGGGACTCTTGGGAGAGTGCAGGCGATTTTCACGCAAATGGCGAAACCTGCGAGCAATGGTGAATCTGGCAAAAAATGGCAAAGGGTTGGTAAAAATTTAAATGAGGCTTTAAGAGGTGCCCTTTGTAAAGTGGTGAAGTTGACAAAAATAGCGAATCTGACAAAAATGGCGAATCTCGCTAAACAGGAAAATTTGACAAAATGGCATTGGTTAGGCGAATATTCACATTACATGAAGATGGGAGAAATGCGATTTTGATGAAAATGCGAATGCGAATCTGGTCCAAATGACAAAAACTTGCCAGCAATGGCGAATCTGGCAAAAGATCGCCAAAGGGTTCACAAAAAATTAATTGAGGCTTTAAAAGAGGTGCCCATTGTACAGTGGCGAAGTTGACGAAAATGGCGAATCTGACAAAATGACAAATATGGCGAAAATGTGCCATGGGTTTCACGAATATTCACATAAGATGGGAACCGGCTTAAAGACGCGAGGCAACAAGGAGCCTGGTTCCAGGATAAGCCTGAATGAATGATGGCTTCTGTGCATGGTTGTAGGTTTCCAATTTACAACAAATCTTCGAGAAACTTCGTTCATTGCGTCTTGGTGCTAGCGATGTGGGGTGTATAACTTTAGTATCTGTTATCTACCTGCGGGTGTCCTGTAATCAGAACTACTTCTGGGGTTTTGATTCCCATTGACAGGCAGATACAAAGCAGCTGGTATAACAAGTGATTACTATTGCAAAAGAGGTGCACAGTTATTCCACTTCTGAGCTGATATAGAACGTTAACGTATCACCAGGGTTTAATAAACTGTAGTGTTATTTTTTCTTTACGCTAATTCGCTGCGACATTGATTTACCAGTGCAACACGAAAAATAATTATTGATCAATAAAACTACTTTACGATTCTCTCAATGCAATCTTTAATGTTTTAAAATATCTGGGATGATTTAAAGTTTTTTTAAAACGCGTTAGAAATACTGCTACCCTAGGTTCAGGCAATAGGGCCAAAGCACAACAAAACAAAACACTCTTTTCGTAATATCAACTGTTACAACAATAGTTTCATCTTCTTCCGAATCAGTTCAACTGGCTTCTATTTAGTTAAAGTTGCTCCCAGGAACACAGACCCCTTATAACACACAGAAAGTCAATTGTGCTGCGATGTGTTTGTTTACTGAAGAGCACTAAGTTTTCGCGTAACAAACGTAAACAATTGCAAATTTATCCATTCAAAAGAGAATCTCGAAACTACAATTGACACTTGATGATACCTGCTTTGGTATAAACGGCCAGAAAATGGTCGGATGGCATCACAATCGCCATATGTCTCGGGACGATCGGCCCAATCCGAATAATAACCTGTATGTGGAAATGAGGTTCATTGGCTCACTTTGGAAAGAAACCGGTGGCCTGGGTAGAAAGTGCCCGCGCAAGCACTTGTGGGATAGTGTGGTGGGCGCGAAAGCCAAGTTCAGAAAACTCACAATACTATCCAACACATTTCCTAAACGTGGAAGCTGAATAAAGAGAGACTTGTCATTTTATCCTGATGTTTGTTTTGCAGTCTTCCAAATTTGAGAAACTAGAAATACAAATATATCACAAAGATACAGTCGAACCTCGGCTAACGGCCACCTCCCCACTACAGCCACTTTTTTTTCGTCCCGGCGGACAAAAACTCCATACATTGACTCTTGTTTAAAACCTCTTTACAACGGCCACTTTCTTGTCCCCAAGGTGGCCGTTGTAGAGAGGTTCGAGTGTATAATCTGATAGCCAATATTGCTGCTCACTAAAACGACAACTCTTGAGAAAAATTTCTAGTTAGAGCAGTCATTCTATCTCATAATTTAAAAAATCCAGGGAGTTATACACGAGTCAAGCGAAAATATTGCGATACACTTCAAAGTCCTTTTTCCCCCAGACCCGGGCCCCAGACGATACCATAATGCTTTTGTACCTTTTTCTAGACTCCCGACTATCACTCTTCCAAAATGAGCTCTTCCTTTACCACTTAAAATTTCTTTCCGCTCTGACCTCAAGCAGATAACAATTATAATATCATAGGTGACGAATTACTCCTTAATTTTGGCCCAAAATTTCAGCGTTAATTTGTAATTTCACATGTGAAATTACTAAATTGCCATGGCAACCTGCCGTACGTTTCCGTTTCAAGATGGCGACGAAGTTTTAAAATGTTATGAATGAAGATGTCAGGGCATAAAAAGACGCTTTAGAAAACCTGAACACACGAAAGAGCACATCAAGAAGGATTCTTAGAGGTATGTTGTCGAAACATTCTGAAAACTTAAGCCAAATTTCTGCTCTAAACGTTTGAGAGAGTGAAGTTCACTATCGATCGATACAAGTCAAAAATCCTCGATTGCTAAGGTAATTCGTCACCCATGATATTAATAGGTAATCAAATGGTATACTCGTGAAATTAGGGAATAATTTCACTTGCGTTTTGTCCAAATCCTAATAATTTTCCTCGCCTAAAGGCTCGGGAAATTATAAGATTTGACAGATACTTCAACCATTTGAAATTTACTTTTGCTACACACGCGCTTTTAGCCAGCATTTTTTTCACCAAAAGACACACTACGCTCTTTCACAAAAAAATGAGTAATCGCAAGCGACCTGGACAATCTAATTATCAGTCTATACCAAGGCCTATGACACCAATGAGTATTTTTTCTAAACGCGTGTGTAACATTATCATAAAAATATATCAATATAATCTTTTAATATTAAAATAATATAATAAAAATAAATAATCTTTTTCTTTCTTAAAATTATTATATACTATTATAGGAATATTGATCTCATTTAAAAACTAAAGTTAATAAATCTATTTGTCTTCATAATGAAGCTTGGATAAAAATTCCTCAACATTTAAATTTGAAGGGAAATGCATGCTTTCTCCTTTCGTCTTGGATCGCTGGAAGGGAAAAAATGGAAATTAGAACTTTTCGTTAATAAAGACACAGTGTCAAGGAATAAGTGATGAGAAAAACTAAAAACTCCAGCTTCGGTTGCAGCGAAACGTAATGTGAACATATCGAGACTCGTGAAAGGTTTGACCCCGGGAGTCATTTCATAAGTAGGTTGAGTATGATCGTCCGGGTGAACGTAGTCCTGAATAGGACTGTTGTTGACATTGACTGATGTTTCGACAACCTAGTCATCTCTACAGTAAACGTCAAGTGTATCACTTCAGTTGATGGTATCAAACTCTGGTTACTGACTTGATTTGTCAATTAAGTTGCGATGTTATTGCTCGTCTGTCAGTTGAGCCGTGAGGTCTAAATACATACGGACTTCACTCAGCCGGAGGATCATATTACATCTACTTAAATCAATGATATTCCAACCTTGTGCGCTTGGTGAAGTTATGGAAACTCTGGCTAAATAAAGCTACGCCAGCTACACATCACATACAGCATTCGAAAGCTAGTATATTGTAATAACTTGGCAGAAAATGTCCATCAAAAACAAACCTTGGAAGGGCGCGATAATGATTTATTCCTTTTTTTCTACAAGCAGAAAACAAAATGGATGATTAGCGTAAATTATAATAAGAACAATGCAAAGTCAGCGAAACATGTGTCAGAGTACTTTGTGCCAGGCTCTCGGTCAGGGTTGACGAGCGAAAACAAAGGGCGAGCGAAAAATGACAGATAAGAGACGAAGGAGAGCCTGTAACATCTTTTTAAATAGCTCAGTCCGCCCAAAACCCCGCCCACTTTCAGAAAAACGCTCGCCATGTTTGTTTCACTTTGCGCGCGCGAAGCCAAGTGATCGACGTAAGTGTTGACGTACTGTCAAAATTGACCAATCATAGGGTATACCAAGAGATGGCATACCGGAATGAGGTATTGAAAACAATGCTCACAGGCTCAACTTCCTCGTCTTTCCGCAGCCCCCAAGCGTTTTTTGCCTCACGTTTCTCGATCCGCTTTTCTAATCCTTACTTTATTGGAGCCTGGAAACGTTTAAGAGCCCTTATGAGAGTTAACCAGGTTTCCAGGCACAGTTAAGCCTTGCTATTTTCTCAATTCCTGTCTGTGGTCTTTGAAACATTCGTGTGGCAAATATATAAATAAAAAATATATCAAAAAATGAACTTCTACAAACGAGTATTGACCGTGGATGGAAGGGACGAAAATGAATGCAAGTTGAAAAGTTAAAAGTTCATTCGCTTTCAGGGAAACCTGACAGCAACAAAAATTCAACGTCGTGTCTCCTTTTCTCTTTAAGAGATGGATATATTTTCCCTTTGAATGTTCAATGACAACGTCGCCCTAACATAAAATTACCCAAAAAGTATTTAAGCTTCTCTAATAAAATGTATCAATGGCATTCTCTAACATACCTTCTTTAAAGGAAAACTTAAACCCGAAAAAAAAAAAAGGTGTCCTGGCTACATATATTACCTTGTGCTGCTGAAATTCGTCTCTCGATCGTTTCGTTCGTGACGTAGATGATTCTTGTGTTTCCTTTTCACTACTCAGTTTTGAACGCAATGAACCACTAAAATTTTCTTTTACCAAATCACTGGATTCTTGATTCATTATTGTTAAAGGGGAAGTAGATGGTCCATTGTTGGTTTGCAAAGAGCATTGTATACTCCGTCCGACTGGCGGAACGCTCATTATTTCCTGTTCTTTATGGTTAGTGCAAGGCGAGGAATGAGCTGCGTAAAAACCACCCGCGTTTTTTTCACCTGAAATTTCCGTATTACTTTTAGAAGCAGTTACATTTTCGTAAGCCGGTGATTTTTCTTGCAAAGGTTGAAGCCGCACTTCTGTATCAACCGAAAGAGTCCCAGTTTTCTGTAAACTGTGATTATTTTGCTGTCCGGAGTCTGAAACAAATGCTTGATTATGATGATGTGCAGAATTTCCCTGGAAGTTTTTAAACTGAAACGCTAGAGTTTGTAACATATTGGATGCTTTCAGGGAGAATGGCTCCCCTGATGCCGACAAGTCATCAATGTTGCTATCTGTGTTCGATATACCGGAGGACGTTGAATTACTTTTGTCATTCTCACTGTGGTTTTTTTGTAAAGCTGATAAATCTCCAATGCCAGCAGTGTCTCTAATTACTGGTGATTCCGTGAGAGATCCAGATATAAAAGCTTGAGGTGTCGCTGTGGTGCTTATAGCTGCAGGTAGTGTTAAATCTTGCATAGTTTGATGAGCAGACAATGCATTGGGAACCAGTGGAATAAAACCTGCCCCCATAGGTAAATGGGTAATGCTTTTGTGGGTGACATTGGCAGCTAAGGGCACGAGGGGTGAGTGCAATGTGGGAAGGGTGGGTAGAAGGTTTGCACCACCAGGAGCCAATGGAGAGGAGACCTGAACTGAATCAGAAGACATAAAATTTACAGGAGTAGCAGTGCGGCGCGTTAAATTGCCAGTAGATGGTACAGCAGTGGTTCCCAAGACAACAGGGGCAGACGATTGACGTATGCCTGTACTGGGGATACATCCAGTTGAATCAGTACCTGAACCAGTTGCCATAGTAACAGCCGAAGATATTTGGTCAGGACAAGGACTTGCGATATTGACAGGTGATGGGGACGGGGTGACGCTGATTGGTACGAACGCAGGCGCAGTTGCCAAAATGGCCGAACAGTTCTGTGAGAGGATAGCGTTAGAACTCTGCACTATCGCATTTACAGGAATAGAATTAGAAATAACTGTTCTGTTGAATGTACTTTCATAGTTCATACTTGGCTGAACAACACCAGATGTACCTTGTAGAGTACTAAACCCAGATTCTATATTTAAAGAAGATGATCCCGAGGCCGGTTCAGATGAAGCCTTGGCTACTGCTCGTTTTTGGCCTTTCCCCGTTTCTTTCTTCTCTGTTCTTGGTGCTTTGGTTTGCTTTTTCGTTGCTGGCTTTTGCTTTGTTCCTTTCTTATTCTTAGAACCTTTCTTACGACCTCTGGTACCAATCTCCAGTTCTTTTTCTTGCGTAAAGTTGAGAGCACGAACATAAGGAAGAGTCGACGTGATCAGGGCAGGTTGACTGCAATGTCCGCTGTGCTCCTTTTCATTTACAGCAATTCGAGTTTTTTGAGTTGCATCTGATACCTTTGGTGGTGTTATTGGAGTATGTTTCTTGGCAGTGGGATCGCTTGCTTTGCAACACGACGGTGATGAAGAGTTCGATAGAGCCTTCTGAGGACTGCCAGCCAGCAAAAGCAATGCATCAGTCACAATACTGGCAGCTACAAGAAAAAAAATAGCGTAGCGTGAGATATCAATATTTATTATAGGGAGACCCTTTCTTGGAAGGACATGTGTCCAGTCCAAATCGTCATTTTGATCAGACAAAACAAAATGTGGTCGGTCTCAATCAAGGAAATTCATTGAATCCCTTCGTCTATGGAAACCAAGTCGTCTTAATCTTTCAAGGAAAATGCCTCTTCATCCACAGGCAGCTTGGGCAGCCTAGGGAGTTACATTTGAATTTTATAAGAGAATATATGGGAATAAACAAAACACCTGCTTAATTCTCTCTTCTGAAAAGATTCGACCCAAGAATTACTTTCCCTCTGTTTGTGCTGTGTCGTGTACGGTCTTATCCCTTCTGTAGCCATTTCATACTCTTTTAGAGCGACTCGATATCTTTTCCATATTTCTTATTCTAAGAACAATTCGAAATTTTTAAACTCGCCATATGGGCTTTTAAAAAGCTCCAGAAGCGAAAAGACAGTAGCAGACACATCACAAACACAACTTAAGTCATTTTTATTTCGAGTCTTTTTAGAAGCCGAATTTAGAACGTCTTTCGTTCATCGCCATACCTTCTCTTATTCAAAGCAGTCTAGGCTGCCTGTGGTCGATCACAAGTAAGTGATATGTTTAGTATGAAAAACTGTGCCTACAACCTGCGTGGTAATAGTAGCAGATTCAATCAGCCGGTCCCAAATACACTTGCTTTCAAGCCTAAATTTTTTTCTTATATTACATGCCAATTCTGCGGCAATCTTCCTCATCATGTCAGGGAGGCCTCCGATCAGAAGAAATTCTTTGCCAAGCTCAAAGAAATTAACGTGGATCCGGTCGAATGTCGCTGCAATCTCTGCTCTAGCTAGTTTTTCTAGTTGTTAAATAGCAGTAGATAGTTAATTTTACTCATTTTTAGATTCGTGTTATTATCATACACTGTAGATACACGTACATTTATTTTGCAACGAGCCTTCTTTTTAGGCTCACAAATGTCTCGTGTTGAAATTAAGATTGATTGATTGGTTGATTGATTTATTGATTGATTGATTGATTAGACTTCACAGACCTGACATATGCAATTCTGAGGCAGATGAAGAACTTGGGGGTTGAAGATGCTGCCTTGATGATGACTGTAAGGTAGCAATTTCACAACCTAAATCAACTGTAGATTCCGCGTTTAAATGTTGCCTTGATGCTGATGACAGGGAAGCAACTTCATGACCTAATTCAGCTGTACGCTCCTTTGATCCCGATCGCAACACATCGATCGCCATCCCTCCATCAACTGAGGATTCAGTTGGTAGAAGCCGTCTTGCTGCTGATGGCAGAGTATCAAGCTCATTCCCTGAATCAGGTCGTGAAGACGATGAAACTGCAAGGTTATCTGCAAAAAAGGAACTGCACTGTCATTATAGTTCGTAGCCAACTCCACCTACCTGTATAAGTTTACCGTAAGCTTCCGCTTAAAGGCCCTGTGCTTATACAACCCATAAAAGATATTAGGAGGCTTATAAACGGGGCGCTTGTAACCAGACTAAAAAGAGTTTCAAAAACAAGCTACAGACTGGCTGAGCTGATCAAAATACTTTTCAAATTAACCCGCTTTTTTAAGCTTCAAAACGTCGTAAAAAATCGAATTCATTTCAATACAAGCTAGAGGGGGGCTCACTACTTTTTTAGGGGGAAGGGGTGGGGGTTTATAAGCAGAGGTTATAAGCGGAGGTTTACGGTATAGTGATATGTGATAGTGGTTGAGGTTTTCCGTTTATGCAGGGCTCTTTTCAACTACCTGCTAGCTAAATAGATACCGCTGTTTAAGAACTGTGTCAAATGAATAAATAACAGAAAGGGCGAATTTGGTATGACCATAAAAATGGTTTCGTTAAGTGTTCGTTATTTGTTTTATCAGCCAATAGGTGAAAAGATCAAAACATGGACTCTTCGTTCTTCCGCTAAAGAAAACCCTTATATGGAGAAGGCACTGTTCGATTGGCCAATCGTGTTGCAGTATGACGTCAAAGCGGAGTATCGATTGATTTCTAGAAAGTTCTCGGGCGTGAAGTTTTTTCACCCGAGCGTTAATTCGCTTAACCAACCAAAAGCTACTACGGGTGGGTATCCCTTCGATAAACCAATCAAATCGCACTATTTCCGTTCGCTTTGTTGTTTCTGCTTTGTTTGCGCGTTTTCACTTCAAGGTGATAGGAAAATCGCTCTATCGTGAGATGGCTGACAAATACATTGGATTTCTAGCGACTTAATAATGTTTGGTTCTTTTATCTTTCCAGGCACTCATAGAAACACAGGTCTTAAACTAGAAAGAAATAAGAACCACACCCAATTGTCATACATGTACTTCCTCCCCCTCCTTCTCTACCTTCTGTTTGGAATTTCAAGTATTCCTCTTTAGGTGGGATGGAGTGGGTTGGGGGGCACAAATTTTTCTGCAATCGCACATTGTATAACCCCAAGAAGATATTGTAGGTAATTTTCAACTGTTGGACTCTTACAATAGTACGATTCTGCAGATAATATAATTCTGCTATAAATTAAATTTATTTTAAAAAGCTCAAATTCAAGTTAACTCTTCAAGCCCTAAGAGTGATGAGAATCCAGTTTCTCAGAGTGCAAAGAAAGTGGTGTCCGATAGCCTGGGGCTAGTGGATTTTGCTATCGGGCTAGTGAATTCTGTTATTAACTTGCCCGATGGGCAAGTGAAGTATATTGAGGAATTCAACTTACAGAAGAACTGTGAAATCAATTCTGCTCATCCAAAAATTTAGGGGGCTAGTTGAAATGACGTTTGGGCTAGAAAATGCTAGCTTCAGCTTACCCGAATGGCAAGCTGTAAAAATGACTTTCTTTGCACCCTGATTTCTCCTTGTCTTATCAATGTTTTTAAGACAAAGTGGTCATGAAAATTGCGGACATGATCACACGATGAATCTCATTATTTAATTTGATACTTAAACAACTTCTCCACATTAATTGTATAGAAAATTCATACGGGAAGAAATGAGAGCATAAAAATTAATTTAAATATTAGGGTTTAAAAGGTTAAATAGCAGTTAAAATCCTAGGAATACCTGGAAATTGGGATTCAGAGAGAGGAACCTTGCCAGCCTGACTTGTTTCTGCCAACACGGTGCTTGGGTCTGTTGTAGAAGGCAAGGCATCTAATGCATCTACCATAAGATGATATTTTTAAATTGAAAATGTTCAATTGGATCAGTATAAGGTTTGTAACAAACTGTGAGCTGGTCACTTTGTGAGTTCCCAAATCAAAAGTCAAACCCCGGGAGGGGGGGTACTCCCTTATAAGGGCTTAATGGGGACGTGCGGCCAGCCAGGGTATGTTTTTCGGGATTTTTGTCTTAAACAGGGTATCGAATTTATCATTTTTTGTCTTAATCAGGGTATCGATTTCTCAATTTTTGTGTTAAACAGGATAAATGTCTTAAACAGGGTATCAAAAATCGGAATTCTGTCCTAAACAGGGTAGGAAAATCAGCGATATTTGTCTTAAACAGGGTCAGGGTATGAGGGGCCGCGCCGCACCTCCCCACCCAGGGATATATCGAGTACCCCCCCCCCGGGAGTAAAACCTACCAATTCCAAACAAAGAGAAAAGTACATCAAACGCTGGGTCAGCTTGCATAAGATCCATGATTTCTTTAACAGGAATATCACCACCAGCTTCCTGAAAACCAACAAGAAAACACTTGCATTATCCTTCTCACAAGGGCAGGGCTCAAAAAAGTCTCACCTGGTGGTCTGGAACAAGTAACTTGCCCAATGGGCAAGGATCCAGGCAAGTCATCCTAAGCCCCAAAATCCACATAGAAATTCTCCATACTGATCTTTATAAATTTCCTTATGACACAATACCAGTGAACAAATTCGTCTCATTAGTTCACCCAATGGTCCACTTCGAAAAGTTGTCAAATCGTACCAGTAGATAAAATTATTGTCGACTCCACAAAAAAGGTTAATTTGTTAAGCACATATCTTTTTAGGTCAAGTTACAAAAGTGAAAGCAACAAAAGATGCTACACAATGGTTTTGAAAGCTTCAGTACAATACACAATGAAGTGTTTGGTCCTTGAAGGTTATGTATAGCTACATGTAATTCTGAAACAATGATATCTTGACAGTTGTACAATAATATACCCGACTGACTTCTAACAATTACCATGCAAAAGCTTTTTTTTGGTTTTATACCGGATTAGATGCCATTAATATATCATCACTGCTGTCCTCGGTTATCGTCACAGTCCGTGCTGAGTCAGTTGGAGGGTCATCAGAAGCAGGCTGAGTCCTTGAACTGCAAGAAAATCCCATTTTGGATTTAATCTTGAGGAAAGGTGGTACAAAATCAAAGAGAGAGAAGTGCCAAGTCAAAAAATTTGAGCATGAAAATGAAAGCCAACATATGTAATTGTAAAGGGTCCAGAAGAGGTTATTTTGAAATCCACAATATGTCTCATTTCAAGACCAGGATTCCAGAGCGAGATGGGAGTTCAAAATTGTGACTTTAATTACTGAAAGGGGCATTGTTGAACTATTTTGATAATTTTATGATGCAGGATTTGGCAACTTTTGATGCAAACAACTGAGATCTGGTCAGAAAAGTGAGCTGCACTATATCAAACATCAACAAAAACTTTCATTTTGACTTGACACAAGCCATCCACATTCCCCCAGACTATGCTATACATGTACAATCTTTGTGACTAGGTTCTTTTTCTGTCACCACACTGTAGGTCTTCAAAGCAGAAAAGGTATAAACAAGAACTGGGATTAAATTTTTATGTATATTAATAATTTAAATAAGGAAAATAAAATGTAAACCAAGAATAAAATTGAACCATATCACTCACTGATATTAGGATTGAAAGGGATTACAGTAACTGTTTTAATCTATGAGAGTGATCAACATAAATATTCTACTTGTTATATCCATGCTTAATTAATCACAGAAGCAAGGAGAGTTCAAAAGATGATCAGCCAAAATGAATAAATTCTACTACAACTGTTCTCTATTTCTAGGAACCAAATTGGAAAAGGAGAGGAGAATTTAGATTTTGATTTCAGGTGTCTAAGGGTTAAAATTGTCTGGTTTGATTCATAAACAAAAATTCTCACCTTCCAACCACTTTGTTGATATTTTCTGCCAGTTTTTCTTGCAATATTGGAGTGTTAAGTAATGTGCCCAAAAAAGATTGCTGTAATATTAATGCAAAAGCAAGAATATTTCAATCTGACACATGATTCAATTTGCTCAATTTAATAAAGAAATTACCACTGATAACACCTACTTTGATTATTTAGGATATCACAAAAAAACCTTTCCAATAATTGTTTGTAATCTCATCATGAGTCCACTTGGTCGTTATAATGACATTTTTTGTAAATCAATATCAAGTAGATCAACCGGATTAATACACAAATTAGCAAATCTATTTGTATATTATTTTATTAATCTTCTCTATTATGTTACTGTATTATTTTAAGGAATGATCAACTGTAAAAATGCTCTTACTGGAGTTAGTGTATCTGACGCATACATAACGTCCATTTCAACTTCCAGATTTGTAGTCTTTGGAACTTGCTTGGCAGTTGAAACAGCTACCTCTGATTGGCTGGAAAAGAAAATAATCAGGGTCAAAAAATAAAATATCACAACAAATTGAAATAAATATATTGTTTATATCAAGTGGTATCCTTAAAGTTATAAGCATTATGAAAAAATATATATTACTTTTTATACTCTCTTTTCAACCAAGAAATAATATTAAAAATGACATTAACTTTGTAGGTTTTTTGTGTCTAAGAAGACATTAATATACTAGTAATAGCCAAAGGTTATGGAGTGCAGGTGACAATGGTTGAAGGCCAAAATGCTTTTGCTCCAATGCTGTACTCTGCGCAAGTTTCACGTGATAAAAGGTCAAAACATGTGTGATTAAATTGCGTTCAGTGCATTCCATTCATTCGTAGTGGAAGTCCAAACTAATGCTGGCTACATACATGTGACACATGCGCAATAACGACCCGGAGATTAGGATTGTGGCCTCCTCTTGTTGCCCGCAACTATAAAAATAGCACAGATTTGAATATAATTTGCGATAAAACTAAAAGGTACACAGTAAAGGCCTTTGCCTAATGCTAAGAAATCTCGGTAAATAATTTGTAAAATTCAGGCCTGCATGTTTAGGGTTTTTTCGGTCATAATGGTATAACCATCTTTGTTTCATCATCTCACCTAGTGTCTCTTTGAGGGACTCTCCTACGGGGATGAACTCTGCAAACATAATCACAAAGATTTTGTACAACAACAGTCTGGTAATAGAGAGGAAAAGTGTGACATCACATTACCACGGTAGCAAAATTTTGGATCACAACAATAGGGACGTTAAGCAACAACGACGGTGACAGCAACAAGAAGGACAAAAGTGATAAGTTTAGATAGCAAAACATCAACTTTGTATCACGCTTTTTGGTCCATTTCTTAGCTGTCATTGCATGACTGACGTGAAACTTCCTAATTTCATGCACCCACTTTATAAAGTAGGTGAACACAACACAATTTTTTTCTTTTTCTAAACTTAAATACGGTCCTTTTGGATTTAAACCCAGCAAATTTAGCCAACATTTGACAAATTAATTGAACCTGAATAAGATCAATAAGCCAGAAACAGTGCAAAGTCACTTTGTAAGTGAC